CATGTTTGAAGTAAGAAATTTTAAATGAAAATTTGCATACTAAATGCAGAAAATTGCCTACATGTTCTGCGTATTCTCAGTTATAAAGTGTTCAGATTATTTATTCAAATTATCTCGTACTTTTCTTCACTATCAATCAGTGCATACAATATTGTGCTTACTGTTAATTACTGGTAATATTCAGCGAACTGGTAACCTATCAGTTTCTTTTCGATCAGTTAATTATTGTTTACTTACAAAGAGAATTGGTGTGGTGCGGTTGCTTTTTTTAGTTGCTTGAGGTGAAACGAAACAACTCCGCCAAAACGTTAGTATACGATTATTATTCTTATTGCTTATTTCAGATGCATTCTTAGTCGATTTTCTCTGTTTTATTTTTCCTTTATGACGTATAGTCTCTACTCAGCACTTCAATTATCCATTTTGTTTTCTTGCACGAATCTAATCTTATCGTCGATCAGAGTGAATGCTTGAGCGGATGAATGAATCCATGAAATAAAGCAGACATTACATGTGTGTATATCTGTGTTTATATATGCCCAATTAGGTTGATCTTGTCCAGTCTGAGCATTTTCCATGTAATACATAATAATGATTGTTGTTGATAGCTGGTCTTTCTTATTCTTCTTCATATTTTGTTCCTGATACTATTTGTATTGTTATTCGTATTATCGTTATATTATTGTTCAATAAGATTACTGAATTTTCACTCTGAATATGTTTGCTAGGAAATCTGCGAACGAAAGAACAGATCAGATCTTTCGTTTAATGTCAGGGGTTTAGCGCATTCACTCCACATCCACTTCATCGACTGCGAAGATCCTTTTTCTCCGAATCCGTTTTGAGCCCTTAAGTGTCTTCAGCGCTGTCTATCATCATATGTTGTTGTTGGATTAATTTGAAGAGGAGAGCTACTCTAGGAAAGAGGAGTTTTTGCTGGAGAAAGGGAGAGGGGTTTAGCGCATTTTTTTTACGATTTGCGTTTATGAACATTGAGCAGGCAGCCGGTTTCACGCACCCTTACGCACACCGATAGACCGGTTTTTACGTAATGCGATTGGTTTGTCGAATTTTTGGATGGGATCAGAAATTTGGATGGATTGGCGATTGAAGTCGTTGGCTGTCGTCGGGCTGGTTGGCTGAAGATTTCATTTGCAAGGCAAAATTTGAGAAAATTCTTTGAAAGCAACATTTAGTCTCCTATGAATGTAGTACACCTTATCTTCTCTGCGGACATTTCAATGACATTTTATATGCATTTGCCTTTTTTTCGTACCTTTCTTCTTCTTCTTCTTCGTACAAAAAGTGATTGAATCTTATCTGTGGTGAATGCTCAAAGCAACACTGAAAGCGTTTTACATTCATACGGTAGCTGCTGGTACTGTAGCATGGGGTTGTTATGGTATTTGTTGATCCGGTAATTTGATGTTACAGTAATCCCTAGTTAGACAAATTTAATGGTTAGAGAAAATGTTATGATATGTTTTATGAGGCTGGCTGTTTTTTTGCTTTGGGTTTGGTTTTCTTCGTTGAATACAAGAAAGATGTGGTGATTGGTGATGAAAGATGAGCCAGGGATGAATGGAAGGCGAAGTTTTTCTAATGAAAGGACAAATGATTTTTGTTCGCGCATCGGTTTTTGCCCCGAATTTAGTCTTATTCCAATCGAAAAAATTCTTTTTCTTCCACTTCATCCGTCGACAGGAATGAATTGTTCGAAAACCATATTGCATCGATACTCCCTAATGAGCCATCGGTAATCATCTGTTTTATCCATCCATCCATCCATCCATCCACAGTGTCAGCCCGCAGTTGCTTGTTAAACATATGTGCTGCTGTTATGCATACATACTTGATCAATTCTGTGTAAAGAAACGTGAGAGTAAGCAGAAAGCAATAGAATATGGTATGGAAAGAGACTAAGCAATATGGAACACTGATAATGATAATGATACGATAGTGATAAGTCAAGCAACGCTTAGAAAACCTTGAACCTTGAATTGTGAACTTTGGAAAGTAGTTGTATTCTAAGTACAAAGTAGTAAAGTTTGTTGTTGATCGTTTCTATTTTACAACACTTAAAATGTACGGCGGTTACGATCGGTTGTTTGATGATGCTCTTTCTAAAGGCCGATTAGGAGAGTGATTTCTTCGATTTGGGAAAATATTATACACGCCATTCTTTGCCACTTCCAGTTGAACATCACGACAACTAAACAGCATTCAGTTACGGTTAGTTGTCGTCGATAGCATCGGCAATATTGGATGCATTTGATCAATTGGTTGTTCAGTCATGCGTTCGTTCTCATGATGCATTTAGTAACATAAATAAGCACGACGAACAAACAATTTCATTTACATTTACATCAAGCCATTTGGATAGGTAAACACACCAAATCACTCCGATCATCCAGTCAAGAAAATTCGTCATAATCATCATCACATTATCAAGCCAAACGCACAATAACACAATAACAATAATAAGAGCAGTGGTGGATGGCAACAACTGCAACAGCAATAAATTAACAACAAACAACTCGATTCAAGTAGCCATCAAAACAGATCAAGAATGGAATGAAAATTTTAGAGGTGATGAAGAAAAGACTGAAGGGAACGGATGAAATAGCTTCAGCGCTGCTTCCATGAATTTTTAAGGATTTCACTTGATTTCACCGATTAGATCGTAGAATATTATAGCTAACATGTTCGATGAAGAAAACAAGATCATGAAATAAGCACAAGGATTGACAGATAAAAGATAGAAGAAGTTTATTAGGCAAAGTGGCATATTGATTCTCTTCATTCTAGTGTTGCTGTTCTTTGATGATTGATGTTTGAGATGTTTTCCATGTTCTGTTACTTTTGAGAATGATGAAAATGAAAATGATGAAACTCACTCAGTTAACGAGTATCAAATGAATGTTAAGTGGTCGTTAGCACAAATGAACTAATGAAATGATCGTATTAGAAGTCATGACCGGGACGGGACAGAACATCGATGAGAAAGCAATTAAACATGAGACAAATGTCTTTCTTAAGTTCCCAACCGAGTAATCAACTGTTAATCAACAATGATATTTCATTATATCCACACAGACGAACACACACTAATGTGTAAGCCATCAAACAAGAGTGCTCTGCTTTGCTTTTCCTGTCGTTTCCTTCACTTCAGTTCAATTTCATCATGATGATTATTGACGTCAATCATCGACGATCATCTGCCTGCGTTTTTGCTGCTTGCGTTTGCTCTGATCGTGAAACGATCGACGACGTGTAGTACATTCACTCCTCATTCATTCAGTCATTCACTGCTTTACCTGTGCACAATCCGAGCTGGTTCAGTTTTGTTACGCCTTCATTTCACATTTCACTTTGGCGTTGATCGTTGTTGGGTCCGGGCACTGTCGTCCGCTGACTTCGGTTGCTGCTGTGGAATTTAACGATGGCAGCACCGTTAACAATACTTCTTGTTCTTGTTCTTCTCTTCTCGATGAGATTTTATTTGAAGATTTGGGAGGAAATCTTCTCGAAGTTGGGCT